ACCTCTCGTCCAGCCTCAGTACTCAACCTGCAGCTGCCCCAGAGCTGTCACAGCTAGGGGACAGGTGTCCCTCCCTTGGCTGTGCCCACTGGAGTTGTGGTGACTATGGAGAGGCTCCTCTCACTTGGCCCCAAGCTGCCGTGGTGAAAGAGGAGCAGCCTCCGTACCAAATTTTCCATCGCCAGGCCCACCCAGAGCCTGCACTCCCAACCAGAGCCTTTACTCCACACCCTCACCCTCTGCCCCACCTCTAAGTCCCCTGGCTACACTCCAACCCTTCAGTGCCACTCCCACCACACAGCTTATTCGCAGAATACATCACCTCCATTTTGGTGCAGATAACAAAAATCATTCAGCACACGGACATAAAAAAATTAGAGGGAACCTTGTGCTACAAATGGATGTTTCTTGGAAGTTTAGGAACTGGGGTATCGACAAGGCAAAGTAGGGTCTGGAGGAATCCTGAGAAGTTTGTTGAGGGTGGCTAACAGAGTAGGGGACAGGGAGCTGTCATTGGTTAGCACCAGAAAGTATCTCACTCAACGAGGCATGGAGGTAACATAGAGAATAAGATTCTGCTGCAAAAGAGTCACATGCACGTTACAGTAAACTTCCGATAATCTGGCACCTTTGGGACCCAGGGGGTGCCGGATTATCAGATTTGCCAGACTATCAGAGGGAGGGGGGCTATGAGGAGCCTAGGGTGGGGTGGCGGGGGATGCCGCCCCAGACCCCTCATAGCCCCCCTTTCCAATAGTCCGGCTCTGCCTCAGGCGTCCCTGATTCAGCCGCTGCTGGTTAGTTTCAAAATAATTAATTAAAATTTCTAGCCAATACAAAATACTAAAATTATTAATTTTTTAAAGTGGAGCTCTTTTGAAAATAGGACCACCCCAAATTTCTAAAAATTGTTACCCTGTTAAAAATTGGTTTCTAAATTCAAAATAGCTATAATGGAAAACAGCTGCAAAAATAACTACAATTTTCAAAAGATTATTGTGAAAAAATATAACAAACTCCAAATACCATAAGTAGCTGGCTAGTTATCCTGTATTCTAAAAACATCAACAAAACCACATTTCCTTCTAATTTTACTATCCTTCTCTTCCCTCTTTTCCTGTCTGTTGTGTGTAAAGAAAAGTAAAAGAAAAGTAATCATTTTCATCTCAAAATTGAGCTACATTAATTTGCGTATCAGATTTTGAAATAGGGATCACTTAATTTCACAGCACCTATTTCGAAATAGAGCACTCTTCCTCTGACTTCCCTTATTCCTCATACAATGAGGGTTACAGGAATCGGAGTAAGAAGTCCTCAAACTTGAGAGTATTTTAACACTATTTCAAAATAACTGCCTGCTGTGTAGATGTGGACTAAGGGTATGTCTACACTACCCCGCTAGTTCAAACTAGCGGGGTAATGTAGGCATACCGCACTTGCAAATGAAGCCCGGGATTTGAATTTCCCGGGCTTCATTTGCATAAGCGGGGCTCCGCCATTTTTAAATCCCCGCTCGTTCGAACCCCATGCAGCTCGAACCATGAGGAGTAACGGTAGTTCGAACTAGGAAACCTAGTTCGAACTACCTAGTTCGTGCCCCGTGTAGCCGCGCTGCACAGGGTTCGAATGGGGATTTAAAAATGGCGGAGCCCCGCTTATGCAAATGAAGCACGGGAAATTCAAATCCCGGGCTTCACAATATATTTGATCACAAAGCTTGCACAAGTCATTACTTATGTGCTTCTAAGTCCAGTTCTGAGGTGAGCTGATGACAAAACTGAACATAGTACTGTATTGCAGCACTTGGTGACTTTCAACATGGCACAGTAATAGAAAGCTTAACTGAATTTCTTGGGTTTTGATAGCATGATTTTTCTAATCCCTTAATTCTGCATCAATGCTAATTTTTGCATTTAATTTTCCTGGTTGTTCAAAAAGTAGCCTACCACTACACCAAGTAGCCCATCCTAAAAAGTAATATGACTTTTGTTCACTGGCTACAAGCACCAGTCAGTTTACAGTTGACAGCTACCACTTCTCATGGGAAGGTCTACACCAATGTTTCTTAAACTTTTTAAGACTAAGGAACACCAAGCAATTTTTTTTATGGGGAACACCAAATATTTTTTTGTTGAGCAAAAAAAAACCAGCTCCCAGGGAAAATTTGTCGAGCAAAGGAAAATGAAAAAAACCTCCCCCGGACCAGGAAGGAGGCTAGAGGAGGGGACTTGGGGCAGGGTGTCAGAGCAAGCTGGGAATGCAGGGTCTTGGCAGGGGAGGGGAGTGCGGGGGAGTTTGGGTGTGGGGTCTGGGCATGAGGAGGGATGCTTACCTGGCTTGGCACCCTGCTGCAGCCTCCAGGGAGCATGCTCTTGTTCTTCTGGTGAGGGGGAGGGGTGGAGAACTCAGTTCTCTCCCTGCCCAGCCCCGCCCATGCAGCGGGGAACCCAGCACAGCTGCAGCACCAGGCCAGGCTTCCAGCTGGCAGGGCGGGGGGAGGGGAGAGAGTAGAAACCAGATCAAACTCTGCCACTTCCCTAGCAGGCTGTGGAGGGGCACAGGGGAGAGAGAGCAGCAGCACATGGGGGGCAGCAGAGCCCAAGTGCGCCCAGAGGGGGGGACAGCAGAGTTCGAGCGTGCCACAGGCGGGGAGGAGGGTGGCAGAGCCAGAGCCAGGTTCCCCACAGGCAGCAATTTTAAAATGCCGAGGTCCGAGAGCGGCTCCTCAGCTTTGGCCATGCTTCCCCCTCCCAGCAGCAGCGGCCGCTGTAAAAGTTGCTGCTTGCACATGTGGAGGAGTAGAAAGCCACGCAGCAGCGGAGGCCCCGTGGGACAGGGGCCGTCCTGCGGGCTGGGAGAGAGGGGGGCAGCCACAGCAGGAGCTGTCTACGGGCTCTGCAGGTGGTGGGGGAGCAAAATCTTTTCTGTTTTCTCCATGGCACACCACTGGCTGCCTCGCGGCATACCGGTGTGCCGCTGAACACAGTTTAAGAAATGCCGCTCTACACTTAGGTTCATATACACATGAACTCTACAGTTAAGGCCCTATGCTGCAGTTCATAATCACATATGTAGACCTTACTTGAACTGCAAGAATCCTTTGAGATCCATGTGTTTGTGTGTACTACAAGCTTTATGAATATAAGAACAAAAAAATTATAAAGTGCATAACTATTTAATGCCCCTATTAATGCAGATGTCTTCCATGATAAATCAGAACATTCTAAACTCAGCTATTTTTAATACTTTATGTAAACAACACCTGCTAGAGTAAGTTAAAAGGAAACAATGAACTATTTGCTTCCTCGTGTGAACTAAAAAATGGCAAAAAAAAAAAAATCTTAATTTTCCAGAAAATTCCACTTTGTGAGTAGAGAAAGGACAGAAATTTTCATCTGAATAGGAGAACATTTTCGAAAGTTATGGACTAGTGAAAAGCTGAGAATATAACAATCTTTTTTCAAACTTCAGTACAGCAGTTATGCCAGTGAGCATTATATTATAGTTCATATTTACAGATAGGTACTTTAAATACGGGCCATGAAGGACCTGCTTTAATTTTTTTTAATTTAGCTATCCGAACTCAGTGAACATTTTGGTATAATGATCTTGCCAAACTAAACAAAGTAAGAACATAAATAAAATATTCCCTTCCCCCAGGACACATGTATTTAATTGATTACCCAGCTTTTACTTTTAACTACTTTACCATTCACCAGCTTTGCTTATATTAATATTTTTAAAAGGAAAAGGCAAAAGGAAAAGGCAGGTAAGTGATCTGTGAAAAGCTCTCAACTCATTTATTATTCTTCTAGAATAGTAGTTATACCGGCTGATTACAAAAACATAGGAACATGATAGTTTCCAACCACAGAATTCTCTCGTTTTATTACTTTTTTACATAGGTTCAGGTAATAAGGCGCCATATTTTGGCAATAACATACCTGCCCTTCTATTGGCTTAACAGATTTTTACAAACAAAAAAAAGTAACAATAACTGAAAATAACATCAAGTATTCCTTAATAAAAAATGAATAGACAGACCATAAATCATTACATTTAATAAAAACAAAAAAGAAATCCAAGAATATTACTTAAAACTAACACACCTCTCCACCCCTTCAAATCGGGTCTCTAAAATCCCTTTCTTTTAGAAATATTCATACGTTAGTCTCTTCAGCAAAGATCTCCTGAAATATTCCTTTTTCCGCCTTTTTTGGGGGGGAAAGGGGAGTGGTTTGGGTTGGTTGGGGAGGCAAGATCTTTCCTTGGGCTAGATTGTATTTTAAAGGAGGTAATGTCTGGTTTTAGAAAGTACCATATACAACTATGGCTTTATATATATGATTTATAATTATAATAAGAAGTTAATTTAGTTACATAAAAGTATATTCCTATTCTAAACACCAGATCATATAGTGGATCTGTTATAACATCTACACTGATCCAATGTTTTGAAAACACTGTCATTTCCATAGCACAATATACTAACTGGTATTTTGTATTTGAAATAAATGACATCTGAGGTAAATATAATGCAATAGTTGACAAATGTGGATTGTTAGCTTTCTACTTTAGAGAGCTTTTCCTGGACAATCAAAGGCTAAAATCTAACTTTAATTTTGTGTAAACAATTAATAACCCTAAGCAAACATTTTGAGAATATCCATTAAAAGAAAAAGAAAAAACTCAAAACTGAAAGACTGAGTCCGCTTTCCATTATACTAGTTTTATGAAGAAATCATAGAAAAATACTGACGATGAAAAGAACCATCAAATCCTGCCTATTTGTTATCAAGAAAAAAAGAACTACTTTAGAGTTTACTGTAGTTACTGCTGGTTAGCCATTTTCTTCATACAATAGTTACCATTAGCCACATGTGTTCAAAGCATAGTACAGATATTATCTAATTATACCTCACTTATTTAAGAAAATATGAAGACTCCAAATAAGGATAATATCTGACTTTTTAGTTCCATTGCAAATAATCTGGCCTTACCTCAGTGTTCTCAAATCCCAGAGTTTGATGCCATCACCAATGGCTGCGGTCATGAAAAGATTGTAAGCTTCAAGTGGCTGAGTGCTAAAAGCTGATCCCTGTAACATCAGAATTTTTTTTTCAGGTGGCAGCATCTCAGATTTTAAAGATTTTATGCATTCAGTTAAATATATTGAGCTGAAATCTAAAAATTTGGGCTTTGCAATACCAGCAGAGTAGTTTGCACAGATTTCATAGACTTCCCAAGACTATGCCATACTCCATGCCCTTCAAGTTCTTCAGACCATTAAATTTCAAGACCACCTCTCTCAAAGTCTTTTCTGTAATGTAACCCTCTCCTTAACTTTGGAACAGTTTGCAGTAGTCTTCAGAGAAACAGGTTGCAGCCTGACCAACATAATAAGGCAACAAGAACAGGAAAAAACAGCTACTCCAATTGGAAGGAACTGATAAACTGAGCAAAAGAACTTAACAAATAAGTCAAGGTAACACTTGGGATTTCTTAGCAATAGCTCATGCTAAAAATTTTGGAACACCCCACTGTGCGTGTATTCGTCAGAAAACCCCTCTTGATGCTCTAACTACCTTGCTAAGAATTATGGACTATATTATCAGCATACTAGTTGCTAATAGCGAGAACAGGAAAGTTTTCACATTTCACACTGCCTTATGGAGAGGTTTACACTGTATTTTCTACAAAGATTTTATACATACATAACCATAAAACTCCCTCCTCCCTGCCCCCTTTCACAAGGAATTATCATTCTGCCCTTGGGTTGAATATTTTACATTCTGTCTCAGTAGGCTTGCCAGATGGTTTCAACAAAAATACCGGACACACTTGACATTATATCACAATCTACATTATATCTTATTTAGAAAATACCGGACATTTATATTTTCTCAATTTGTTTCCCAAACAAAAAGCTCAAATACTGGACTGTCCGGTTCAAAACCAGACACCTGGCAACCCTATGTCTCAGAGAAACACTCTAGATGGGTCAGTTATACAAAGGTGGCATATGTTAGGAGATGATAACTTTCTCCGACAAGGTATAATCCACATTAGAGTACAGCAGCCATAAAATGACTATTTTTATATAAGAACAAAATAAGCAAAGGATATCTTAGCAACTTTCAACTCAGTTATGGTGTTTCTTTTGGGTTATAAATAGAAGAAAAATAAAATGACGGGAGTAACCACCTTTACAGAATTAAAACACGGATGGGCCAATAGCAAACAATGGATCAAATTCAGCCCTGCCATAATTTAGCATCTTTTCCATTGTCTTCAACAGAAGTTACTCTCATTTGTATTTGGCTTCATGTATTTAAATAATTAAATCCAATCTAACTCCTCTCATTTGTAAAACATACACATTGATAAACTTTTTTTTTTTTTTGCTAGCTACAAATCTTCTGTTACCAGGGAACTAAAAATAAACAAATCTCCCCCACCCCATTTAAGTTCTTGAATTGGCTACACACAACAGAAACCTCATCGTCATTTCCAGCAATCGGTGTTTAGCTGCCAGGAATCTTCTGTTCTTCACAAGACCTAGCGTACAACTGGGAAATACTCCAATATTTAGTCAGTGGATACTAAGCACTGCCATAAAAGGGACCTCCAAACAGGGTTATTATAACTCAACTCTAGAAATATAAAATGAATCCCCCAAATGGTAAGGTTAAATGGGGCATGCAGCATTCACTTAATAGACTGTAATATCCTCCCCACCTTCTCTTCTTGTACCACTCTCTTTAAACTGAGGATCCCCATCTCCTGCTTCATAGGATGCTCTAACATGCATGATACTGCTGATTTCACTACTTCACAGAAGTCAGCTGGAGTATGAAGCCAACAATTCTGGCTTCGATGTTGTATTATTCCTTGTCTCCAATCTGCAGTATGCACAAAACACATGTGCTTTTCTTAACTCACAACTGGAAACAGGAAAATCTAATTCCTCCCTGTCCCATAATCCTATCCTTAAATCTTCACTTTTCGTCCATTTCTGTACACATTGAAAAATCTCCCACCTGAGTTCCAAAGGTCTTTTTAGCATCATATCTCTTGTGCTTCAGTCTCATTTCTTCCTATTCTCTAGACCATTCACCGAATTCATTGAACTGCACTAATATTAATTCTGTCCTCTTTCCATTTCTGAACCTGGGCAATTGATTTTAACTCCAAGCTCTTCTCCCTGTCCATAATTAGGGCAAACACATAAGATCTGCTTTTTTTCCATTGCCTTATATCTTATGTAGTCATTAGGCAATGTATTACACCCAAGTTGAACTTACTTTACACAAGTGTAAATGAATTTACAGTGTACAAGATAGTGGAAAAATCAGACAAGCCCATTTCTAACCTATTTTAAAACTGCTGTTTTCTCTATGGATTGTTAGCACCACCTCCTTTAAATTTAACTCCCACCTTTCTTAAACTTTTCTCTCTCCTCAAATATTCTGATGTCCCTGACACAAAACTATGAAGTTCAGCCACTTGCCTAAGTGCTGTCATGGATGATACTATTGCTGATTAAAATCCTGCATATGCTGCTTATAATGGAAACGATAAGTCTGTGTGAAGCAGTCTCTAAAAGACACCATACAAAAATAGTTTTGCATTGCATTTTTAAAAGGAAACACTAAATTTAGAGCCTGTGTCTAATCAAGAATACTATCTTGCCTACCCATAACAAGTTCTCTATCAAAATATATTGCTTCCATGAATTGACACTCTTAGATCTGCACAGAAGAGTGCACATGTCCAACAAGAAAGTTCTATCGGCGTAATTCATGAAGAAGCAGCAGTTACATTTTGGGTGTGTCTACAAAGCAAAGTTATTTCGGAATAAAGGTCATTATTCTGAAATAACTATGCAAGTGTCTATACAGCAATTCCTTTATTTCAAAACAATTTCAAAATAATGGAAAGCTTATTCCCACTTCTGTAAACCTGATTCTACGAAGAATAATGCCTATTCCGAAGCAGGTATTTTGAAATAAGGCATGTGTAGATGCTCCACTTCTGCTATTTCGAAATAGCCCCTCACCAGGCCCATTCTAAGGGTATGTCTTAGTTCGAACTAGGGTGGTAATGTAGGCAACCGGAGTTGCAAATGAAGCCCGGGATTTGAATTTCCCGGGCTTCATTTGCATATTGCCGGGCGCCGCCATTTTTAAATGTCCGCTAGTGCGGACTCCGTGCCCCGCGGCTACACGCGGCACAGACTAGGTGGTTCGGATTAGGCTTGCTAAAGATCCGCGTCTAGACTGGCAAAGCTCCGAGCCGGAAAAAAGCGGCAGGCATATTTATGCAAATGAAGCGGGAGGGATTTAAATCCCTGCTTCATTTGCAATTGCGATGTGTCTAATTTGCACCCCTTTTACGGAAAAGGGATGTAGTCTAGACACAGCCGTATTGTCTGGAAACCTAGCCATAACTGTGCAGTCTAGATGTAGCCTTTGTGATTAAAGGGACTTTTTAACCTAAACAATAATTTATTATTATTTTTCCATACAATTAATTTAGTAAGAGGGGTTTTTTTAAACAACAGAATTTGATTGCATATTATATTATAACAAATGAAAATCCTAGCTGAATAGGATTTAGAAGGTTTTTCCGACAAAAGACTGTAGTCTAGACCTAGCCTAAGAGTAAGGCCAAAAATGGGAAACAGAGATAAATAAATGCTTTATTTGCATGCTGAAATGCACATTGGAAATCATGTCTCCTCATTCATACTAACATTTCACATGCATGCACAACTTCCTAATCCTCTGCTCAGGAGTGTAAGGACACACAAAAAGCATGAATGTTCCTTCTAGATGTAGAGGACTAATACTATGCCCTGATCCAATCAATACCCAATAACTTCAATCGGTATTTGAAGCAGGCCACTAGTGCTTAATTTAGAAGGTTGCTAATAAACAGAGTAGTGAAGTTCTGAAATAAACTTGTAAATAGAAGCAATGGTGACAAATAACCTAACTAGTTTTAAGACAGAGTTTGATAAATCTATGAATAGGATTATATTATGGGGTTGCAAACTCTAAAAATTACAGGCTGTCCATCCTTACACATTTTTTATGTTTATTTTCAGTTTTGAAACGTCTGTTCATCACCTCTTGCTCTACCACACAGCCACAATGCATAGTCTACTATATATTTGAGAGTGTGCACCTGTCTGTCTGTCCATCCATCTGTGAATCTGTTTGTTCAAGAACTCCTTCTAAACGCTAAGAGCTAGGACCACCAAATTTGGTATGCAGCTTCCTCTTGTCATAAATTAAAGCAAGGTCAGGGTTTGATTGTGCCAAAACAATGGGATGTGCATGGAATGTGATTGTTTCTCATCAAATGGAAAGGGAGGGGGAGCAAGCACAAGGACAGTTATAACCCAGACTGACCAGGAGGGACAGCATGCACTCGAATACTGGGAAGAAGCTACTGGCTGAGCTGCGTGGCCTCCACCACCCCGACCCAGCCATGGGGAGCAGCTGCCGTGACTCCCAACTCCTCTCCTGAGCCTCCCCATACCTTCCAACCCCTACCCGGATTCCTGCATCCCTGCCTCTTGCCCTAAGCCCCCCATCCTCTACTGACTCCTGTATCTCCCAGCCCCTGCCCTGAGCCCTCCCCCCACCTACCCACACACACACATTCCTACACACTCCACTCCCCCAAACCTCTGTCCGGAAGCAAAGTCAAGTACATCTTCTAATATGATATACATGCAGAATATTTTATCTTCATTTCTGGTATTCTACAAAGTGCTGTACACGTTCATTTTACCTTGTACAATGATTTTATTCAACAAGGCAAGCAAACTAGTTCAGAATAACCTTTACCATATTTTTCAAATACTGACTTCCCTGTAAATTCTATTGTTTTAGCTGCCTTTTTCTTGTTACACTTAAATACCCATTTCAGACAATGTGTTCCATATTGTTTGGCATAACCACTATCTCTACATTCCGATTTTCACATAATAGAAACTCTCCATTTAATTTATGATTTTTCAAAAGAATTAAGATATAGTGAATTTGCTGAACCTTTCAAGACTAACTTTTGGAGTGCAGGATAAATTAT